GGCCCCGGGCCGGCGTGCCCTGCAATGCAACGACCTGCAAGCGGTGGGCCGGGCCGCTGGTCCCACAGAGGAGAGAAGAGAGGGTAGCCCGACCGGGCCGCCGCCGCGGTGAAACCGGAAAGAACAATTTAGCGTCAGTCCGTTGCGCGGCCAGGCCCAGCCCAGCCCTAGCGCGCCGTCCGCTCTGCACCGCTGTAGGAGCTGACAAGTGTGGCACCGGCAGAGGGTACCAGCGGGTACCGGTATCGGTACCACCGTCTGCCCCTCCCCCCTCCCTCACACACACGCTCCCACACCTTTCTTCTCCGCCTCACGCCGCCGCCCCTCCATCGGATCGGCGTGACGTCCAAATAATTCTCTCTATGGAAGACGGGGAAAACGTGCGCGTTGTGGAAAGGGGATGGATGGACAATGTCGTTGCGATGCTGGACGTGCGTGCCCCGCGACAGGTTACGTGAGGCAGTCTGCAGCACCCACACGCACACTTACACACTCGCACACACACACACTCACTCACACACGCACGGTGCCTCGATCACTGGGCCAAGGTGAACACAACAAAACTCGTATGACAGCGCGGCCAGGCGGTCGCGTATCCGATCCCAAACGGTGACCGGAAATCTTGAAACGTATCACACACTCACGCACGCCTCTCCGTCGACCCGCCCAACCAAATCCGGGGCGAAACGGCAGAAGACGGAAATGCAGGACGTGGCAAAGATTTCAGACCTTATCAGCATCAGCGTCCCATAATTTCTTTTAATTCTCCGTTACTTTATTTACCTATTGCTCTACCTTTCGCGCCCCGCCCTTCTCCGTATCTCTCGCTTGCTCCCTCCTTTCCTCGAGTGGCGTTGGCAATGTTTGCATCTGTCGACATTGACACTGGTCGGCTCCGTTCGCTTCCCTCGTACGCCTGCCTCTTCTCTCTCTCTCTCTCTCTCCTTCTTGCCCCCTCCCCAGCCCGTCGCGACCCACGTCTCCCACGTGGTCGCCTCGCACCTGTGTGCGAAATGGGTAAGAAAGGAAAGAGGGGCAAGCCGTCGGGCTCTTCGAGGCAGACCGCGCTGGCGGTCGCCTCCGACAAGGCCCTGCTGCGAGAGCACCCGCACATGCACGCTGGAGGTTATCACAGTCTGTGGGACACACTCAAGTCCCGTGCACGAATGCTCGGAAGCGTGTTCTTGCACAACTCGTGCAACAGCGGAGTCCTTGGGACGTCTCCCCGAACTGCACCACTGACCCCTCTGGTCGCGGAGGCTGAGGGGCAAGGGGTCCCCATAGTGCCGGTGTACACTTGGTTTCCTGGTCTTCCTTCTGTTCTTCCCATGTCTCCCTGGTGGTCCTCCCATGTCTTCCAAGGTCATCACTGTTTTCCAGCCGGCCTGTGTACACGCTCGTATACTTAGTTGGGGAGGGGACCCCTCGCTGAGGAGGCAGGCAGGCGGGCTGCTGCCGCTGGCGCCGCGGGTCTCTCCCCGTCGCTCTCGCTCACCACCGCACTGCCGCCGCCGCTCTACCCAGGTGGCTCTGTGGGCCTTTTATCTCATCTCTGGTCAGAGATAACGGTGGCGACCCCCGTGCTGTGCTGCTCCAGCGTCGTCACACGTTGTGTCACACCACTGCGTGCCGAACACCGGAGCCTCCGTGACAATAAGTGTACGCGCGTGTGTGTGTGAGTGCGCACACGTTCGGGCGGCCTTCCTACATGAGATCCGGTCGATGCTCGCGGAGCAAACACCAGCGAGGGGCGCCCGTCCGTCTGTCGGGCCGGCGTACGGCAAACACCTCGGCGGCACACTCTGTGTTCTGTAACGCCCCGATAGCCCAAAAGAGCTGACCGGGTCACGCAGCGTGACCCAG